CTTCTTCTTCTTCTTCTTCTTCTTCTTCTTCTTCTTCTTCTTCTTCTTCTTCTTCTTCTTCTTCTTCTTCTTCTTCTTCTTCTTCTTCTTCTTCTGCGCATGCGTTCCAGAGGAAGAGTGTGAGCTGTCTCCCCGTGCAAGCGTCGAGGTCTCTCTGATAGCGCCGTGCTCCGGCAGAGGTCACTTGACGGTCTTTTTGTTGCGCAGAGAAGCCGCGGCTCGACTCGGCCATCTGTCGCATGAGCTGGCAGCGACTCTGTCCGGTGTCGTGGTTCGTGCAGTAGACCAGAACCAGCTTCAACTCTCTTCCACCTCCGTGCCATCGCCCCTCGCCTTTTCCACAGCCTCCAAATCCACCCTCCACCTCCTCGCCAGGTCCTCCAGAGTGCCCAACCACTGCTTAACAACAGGGTGACATCTCGCGACTTCCTGGAACGTGACCTCCCCCTCTCCCTCGACATGCCCCTCAACGTCCCACGTGAACACCCCCTCCTCATCAACCCACTCCCTCCCCAACACACTCTCAATCGCCAACTCGCCCCTCGCGCGCTCCAGTAGAGCTTGCGCCTCCTCCCATCTCCCCTCGTCGTGTCCTCTGAGCGCAGCAGTAACGCCCTGCAAGACACCCAGCACGCGGCCCACAAGCAGCCCGATCTCCGCGCCTAGCGAGAACCCCTCGTCGAAGCCCTCCTGCACGAATTTGCCCTTTGCGGCCGAGAGCCCCTCGCGGTACGCGTCCGTGTCGAGGTTGCGCTGGCGCGACGGCAGGTCCGAGAGCATCTCGTCGTCGCGCTGGGCAGCGAGGGTGGGGGATGCGTCCGGGGACGAGCCGTAAATGTCGTCGAGGGGGTCGGCGTGCGGGGGCGTCGGCGGCGCGTTGCCCGCGGGGAGGAAGGCGGGGCCTGGCGAGGGCGAGGGTGCGCGTATCATGCTGGATGCAGGGGGCTGGATTCGACGCTGGTGGGAATTTGCTGAGGTGCGGCTCTGCGGCGGCGACGACGGTGGAGGGGCTCGCCAAATTCCACAGCGTTGGACCCTGCATGGGGCGGGGTTGACCGTTAGCCTGCGGACCTCCGCGCCCGAGGGTTGGGAGGCATTGGAGACGCGGGTTGACATGCATTTTGCTGGGCTGCCTTCTGTGGATGAGTCCTCACTAATCACGTACACTTCAACTCGACGCCATCATGTGAGTCTGCTGCGCAAGGTGGACGAGGCGGGCAGGGAAATCAAAGACAAGGAGAACAAGGTGAACCTGCTGTTCATAACCATCGGCTACATGACACTCAAGGACAGGAACGAGACCGAGGAGGGTCTAGACCACAGCTTTGCTCTTCACTATTGCGCAAGACCTCGCTTCATGCACAGCTTAGTCCTCTGCTCGATGCCGCGACAACGGATGAGGATCCCAAGGCGACGTTATGGCGCGTTGTCTCCGTATACGATTCTGTGCTCGGGAAGAACAACGACATCGATTCTCCGACCCTTCGTTCAAGCACAGCTTCTCGCTCAGGAACTGCGCAACGTACGGAGGCGCGCTTGGGAACTTTGCCACGGAGCATCTGTCGAAGCAATGGCCTAACACTTCCTTCGTCCACGAATAGCCAGGTATCGTCGAAACGTCCGGCAGCCGCAACCCGTGGCTCAAGCCCATGTATGCTCTGCTTTCGCCGTGCTCGGTGAGCTAGAAGGAAAGCGGCGAGGCTCAGTCGGAATCTAAGGGGGCGGCCGAGATGCGCGCCGAATGCGCAGAGGAGAAGATGTGGGCGCATACGACAGAGGTGTTCCAGAACATTGCGACGAGGGCGGCAAATACTAGCGGTCAGATTTCCTTCTCTCATAATACAATCTTAGCTTAGTATCACTAATTTTCATTAGCGTTCAGCCGCGTTCACAGCTTAGTCGTTTCGGTAGTTCTGGGTATGCCAATAGCTTCAAGAATAGCATCAAGTTTTTCCGGCTGTTGTCGAAGCGTGTCCCACTCTTCTGGGAACTTGACCATGAGCGTGCCTCCGAGTACCGTCCCATTGAGTTGTACGAATCCAATGTCAGTTCCGTCATCGCGTCGCATCATGTGGCCCTCGTTCCGCCTGGGAACAATCGCCATGCCCTGCGTGCTCATAGCCAGATTGTAGCTGATGGGGAGATCACCATGGGCGGACTCGTGTAGGCTGAGATGGCCGGGATGTGCTGAAATGTAGCCGTCGATCGCTTGCTTTGCCTCCCGGTACAGGCGGTTGTACGTGCTAAGAAGCTGTGTGCCAGACGGCTCAGAAGTAAACCTGCACGCGAAGTGTGAAAAGGGAAGCTTTGGATGCTGGACAACGCTGGTAGAAGCATCTATGATCATGTCAATCACATTCAAGAGCCCAGTCTGCAGGAGCCATACCTTCCGTTCCGTTTGTCAAGATAGAATCCAGGAGCACATCCCATCCCGCAGATTGCTCGCCCTCATGCATGCTGTCCACAGGGAGGAACTGCAGATGGCGGTGCGGCTGGCTAGCTCCGCTATGGTCGCCTGAATTGAAGAAGGCGAACAGGCGGCAGCGGTTGTCCCTGGTTTGCCATGCTTTTAGGCAGGCATATGCTGCCTTGAGATCGTCCTCCTCAAGCGCGTGAGTCTGCTGCTTGTTTGGTTTGGTCGCAAGTATGAAATGACTTTTTATAACAGGAAACTTGTTGAGGACAAGGAAGTGGCTTGGATTCGTGGTAGGTACGTTGGCGATGAACAGCTCGGCGGGCGGGTTTTCGAAGGGATCAATCTTCCTCTTGGGCGTCGGATCCTTGCGCGGCTCCGGCTTCCTCGCGAGGGAAGGACAGTATCGCAGTTGGAACTGACACTTCGTTAGCCTTGTAGAAAGAGACACCGCCGACGTGGTACTTGCGGGAATCCCAGCCGCAGTGCGGATGATGCAGAGCTCGGTCGGAGAAAAGAGCAGCGCCTGCGACGCTCTTGCTGACGTGAATTTGGATTCTACCAGCTGCGGCAGAGCTTCGGAGAGACCTAGCATTTTATTCATGGGCAACGTCGCGCGCAATGGCACGTTGGTGGTGGGGGAGCTGCCCCACTGCGACCTTCTGGGTTAAGCACGGACTGCACATCAAACCTCCGACCGACCATACCCCCGTCCGCAACCTCCTAATCATCGCCTTCACTTCCCCGATAGTCATCGTTCCGTCTCATCACAGCATGGAGAGCAAGCTAATCACATCCTCTCAGCACTCATCGTAGTTTCAAACGAAACAAGGACATCGATTTCTTGAACGCCATGGATGCATATGCAACTTGGAATCTAGAAACAGCAAGACGCTTGAATCCAAGGACGATAACGCCGGCCTTGCAGCTTGCCAATGTGATGGCGTCCCCTTGATATCAACCCAACGCCAGTAGAAGGCACCTCGACTTCCAGACAAGCAATAGGGCAGTATATTACAAGTGGCCGTTGAAATCCTCCGAAAACCCAAGGAAACCCCGAATCTCCTACGCCAAGGAGAGCAGTGAATGAATATGGACCTCAAAGCGAACTTCGAATCTCCGAAGGCAAGGAGAGTAACGGCAGGATGTCGTCCGGAGGCATCTACACTCGACTGCGCGCCTGCTGACTCAATCGCGCTGGTTGATCTCCAACCACTTCTTCTTGCAAGTAGAGTTGCCGAAGTGGTACGATCCGCCGCGCTCGGAGATGTACTCTCCGACCTTCTTCCATGACACCTTATTGAGACGAGCGGTCGTGTCCATGGCCCGATGACCGTCGTCGATACTGTCAAACTGCTGCTGTACGATCTCATTCAAGAGCCGAAGCTGGACTAGGTCAGTACGCGATATTGAACAAAGACAGAATCGACTTACATCCTTCGGCATCCACGTGGGCTTGCGGACGCGGTCTTTCTTTTGCTTGGTCATGGCCCGGTGCCGACCCCTCAGAGTTGACTCGGCAATCTCGCCGCCAAATCGCCCAATGATCCTAGCACGAATCTCCTTGTAGGTCAAACCGGCTGCTTTACCCTGGACGAGGATACGGTTCTCGACGTCCCGCTGCGCTTGTTCGTCTGGTGTACGAGGAAGTCCGTGTGCCTCTAGCCCGGGCGCATTGCGATGCACTTCGCGAGACGGCTCACGGCTCTGGACAATTGCTCCACTTGCGTTCGCTCCGGGGCTGGGGGCGTTCTGCTGAACAGAGTTGGCAAAGCCTGTACGGTAGTACGGTGATTGCGTGTTGGGCTGTATCTGCGAGTACATGGAAGGCTGCCAGGCAAGTGCACTCATGCCACCGGTCTGGTTCACCATGGGTATCCAAGGGAGACTGAACTGGTCCACTTGTGGAGCAAACCCAGCATGGTAGTGCTGCCCTACGGATGGCGCGGCATCGACCGGGGTCGAGCGTGATCCTGGCATACCACGTCCCAGTCCTCCACCAGCCGCGTACGTGAGCTGCTCACGGAAGCCAGAAAAGTTAGAATGTGACGGTGATTGCTTGATTTGAGTGGGCGATACAGACGATTGCTCAGTCCAAGGACCACGGCTGCTCGCTTCTTCGCATCCCGGAACCGGTGAGTATGCCGTGCCCTGCTCCGAGGGCTCGCTGAAATAGGTGCTTCTTGGAGACAAGGAGGCTGTACCGGTGTCGACATCGGAGCCATCTGCCGTGCCGACTGGCTGCAGCAGAGCAGTCTGTCGCATGGGCAAGGGCCACAGTGGACCATCCGTGTACCCGGTTTCGTTCTTTACGCCAGTCGATTGTCCCACCAGTGTGCCCGCGTAGTCGAACTGATGGCTCAAACTGCCCTCATAGTCTAGTTCCGGCATGATCATAGGTGGCGCCATGTGTACGCCCTGGTTGTGGTTGTATGCGCGAGCGTTGGCCGCACCTATTGAGAAATGGGACATTGCGCCAGAGGTCGATGTGCCTAAAGCGTATCCACCAGTCGCAGATGTGGAGGGGAGTATATCAAGGTCCCGCGGCAGACCGTTTGTGTGCCAGACCCGGGTCTGCGCGCCGACCGTAGGCTTGCGCTGCTGCTGCTGGTGCTTTGGCTGATTAGCTTCTGTGTGAGCGCGAAGTAGGGTTGCTCTTACCAAGCTAGCTTCTTCCATGGCGTATCTTCCCAAACTTGCTTGCTGGGGCGAGTGTCGTTGGTGGAGCTGGCGGAGGGACGGCGCAGGGACGAGAGAGTATGGTTGTGCTTGAATCGCAACGTCTTGACGAGCTCGCTCTTGGTACAGGGCTTGTGTCATGAAAAGGTTGCGCGGCCTATAAGAACAACATGTGTCAGTAAGGTCACGTTCTGCGTGCTGCTCAGACGTGGCAAGGAAGAGATAGCAAAGTGGGCGTCACGGCCGCTCCGTGAATCGGGAATGAAGCCGTACAATAGGTCGTCGCGGCAGAAGCGACCATTCACGGGTCACGCCGGGGTCTTAGGCTCTCAGGTGAAGGAGGACTATCCCACGCGACCATGCGGTAAGAGAAAAAGCCTGCCTTGCAAGTGGTAGAATCTCTGACCGCCTCAGCGAGCGGGTTTTCTCGGACCTTGCAATGGTTGTGAATGGTCCATGGATGAGGCTCAGGGCCAGGCATGCGCGGGTTCTCATACACTAGACCAGCAATGCCACACTAAGCTTGTCCTCACGGACACCATTCGCCGGCTCATTTGTCAAGACATAACCAAGCTACTCACATGTACGCCACGAGGGCTGCTGGCACGCAGGGCATCGCAAAGATTGAGCTAAGATCGTAAAGGACAGCACAAACACACTAGGGCAAGTCAGAAACTCCGCCTCGTGGAACCAGTCTGGGTGAAGGAGACTTACGGGAGATACGCGAACAAACTAGCATTAAGGAAAGTAGAAATGGAGCCGAAGCTGCAAATGCTGACAATCACATGAGCAAAGTAGGTTCTACTAGAGCGAAGGGGCTTTCTATCTATACTACCGAACCAGCCGTCCACGTTGCGGCTCCATGTCCGTATACCCCATGTCTTTGGAGGTGCGGCGACGGGTACAATACCTAAGCCGCCGTGACCGACAACTTCGGTTCCGCTCTGACCATTTCTTCGAACCGACCCGAGAGCTGTACAGATCTACACGGACAAGGCATGATCGTGCCGGTCCTTTCCCACGCCCCGTACAGGCTAAGCCCCCGGCTCCTGACTGACATCACTGCGATGATGAGCGCGCATACTTCGACGTGGCAGGCCCGCCGCAGGCTTGCTGTATGCCCAGCCCTGCGGAAGATCTCCAGCGTTACCGCCCCCCTCGACGGCCTATCAAAGTCGAGCAGCAAAGCCTGTGCCGAATCGTGATTGCTCTTCTGATGCTGCCTGAGCTGGCCCCAGGTACCTGCGTCGTCTTGTTTGGCCGACGTGCATAAGCGAACGGGTACGCGCATGGCAAACCAGCGACAATCCTTGCAAGGCGCGGGCAACGGCGCTGTAGCAGGTGAGCAGTCATCTGTAACGAATCGCCACGGACGAAGCAATTGTGGGAGAGGTGATCTTCGCTAGGATGAGGGGGCATATGTACAACATGTGTTTGTGGAGGCTATTGCATGTCTGTGGAAGGCGTTGTACGTGCGCGCGTACGACGTTGGTCCTTCATTACGTTTTACAATTTCCCCAAAGACTCTATCTGTCTCGAGTAATGTAACAGACTTAAAGCGCATCGTATATGCTGAGACTGCTACTTCGAAGATGTTAGCTCACCTGGAACATCTAAGGGTTGGAACGACGTTCATCTTCAAGACACGCTTGGCATACTTGGGACCTCGCTCCCACATCGTCCCAGGATGTCGGTGTCGTTGCGAACCGAAGTCACTCCGCGGCTCGAAGTCCCGTGTCCTATCTGCTGAGAATGAAGTTTGACAGGGAGAAACCTCCTTGCAGTTGTTTGGCAGGTGTCTGGGGAATGCAAGAGCCCGTGCCGGTGGGACGGTCAAAGCGCTGGTGGCGGTTAGCCAATGGTGTCACCAACCGCCATGAACGTGAACGAGGGCGAGATGAAACAGGAAAGGTTGCGTATTGTCAAGTTGCAATGAGCATTGGGGAAGCTAAAGGTCGAACATCTCAAGAATGGACACTCGGGAAAGGGTTCGAGTCGAATGACTGTCTGAGGAGAGGGCTAAGCTAAACTCGTCCATTGGTTGTGTCAATGAGAAGATACATGCAGAAGCAGTATCGATTCTGTGTCTTGGCTGCGTCTCACGCCAAGTCAACCTCCACGCTTGTCGCTGCTTGTGGGGTGCGTATTGGCATACCCGGCTCAGATCTTTGCTTGCGGAGGCGGCAGCAGCTCAACATCTTTCCACGGCAAGTCCAGATGCTGCCACATGAAGGGGAACCTGCCAGGGTCAGCTTGGCCCCTCAAAGATTCCTTTGCATAGTTCGCATACGACCCGACTCGCCACCGGGAACCATACTCGAAACATGTAGGACCCCACAGAAAAGAGGCAGACGTACCTGTCACTTCCAAAGAACGGCTCCTCCTCCCCTTTCGAGTTGCAAACCCAGAACCACGGACATCCGAATGCGCCTTGATCGAGAGCTTCCTTCGTGTTCGCGTTCAACACTTGCTTGTTCTCGGGTGCGGTTGCCTTGCCCAATATCTCCCGAATCTGCACCTCTTCAAATCTCTTCGACAATGCCACCGAAAGGAGATCTGGCTTGCTAACATCCTGTCCCTCTTCCCACATCGCACTGAACAAATCCACGAATGTCTGCACGAAGAGCTCAGGGTACGTAGCTTTGATGTACACCAGGGCACGCTGGGGTAGGAGGGAGAGGATAGGAAAGAACGAAGGCGTCTGCATCTTGGGGACCCCGAAATAGCGCTTAGCGCGTGCAGCGTCGGGACCTGAGTATAAGGCTTTGGCCTTGAGAGTCCATGGTGGTTTGTTGCCTAGCAACCTTGCTTAGGACAGCCAGGTCTTGCCTCGCTCGGGAGGAGATACGTACCACTACCTTCCATGATACCGCCAAGGAAGACGGGCACTATGCTGCTCATGTCAGGTTTCGATACAGAGGGGGGTGGGGGAAATGGTCCGTCTGCGGGAAGTCGCAGCAGGGCGTCGCGCATGCGTTTGCAGGTGCAAGTGGGCTGGGAGCTGAGCGGCGACCTTGGAAGGATTGAAGCACGTACTCTATTTCCACATTGTGAGATTCGAGGACTGATCTGTGTCTCTCGAGATGTTTGAGAGCGAAGTATGAGAAGGGTGACACTGATGCAATTAGGACGGGAAGGCACGTGTAGAGATGGGAAGAAGCTACCGCAGTCAAGATACGCCGTGATTTTGCCGCCAGACATGGTCACGCCTTCTTCGGGGGACAGAGAGACGAGGATGAGTAAACCCGGGGCACGATTTTGTAGAACTCGGATTCTATGGCATCACTCACGGACTGTGCCGTGTATGGTCAAACGTTTGTCATGTGACGCTCGCATGCATTTGCCGAGGTCGTCTAGCAGAAGGGCTGCGATGTATAGCGCCGAACAATGTATGCTAGAGCTTCTGGAGGTGCCGATGACAATGCCTCTGTTCCACGATACAGGTGTGATAGGACTCAATCGATGGTGCGGGGGTTGACGTTCAATGGTTGGGGTAGGCTTGGCAGCCTCGGTTGTGAAAGCTAGCTAGAGTCGCTCCTCCGCGCCATCAGTAATCATGCAACATCTCATCGCGCAGTGATGCGCATGCCTCCGCGGGGGCCGAGGAGCAGAGCATAGAAAGGGCAGCATGCTACAACGACTCGAAAGGAACGATTGCACTTAGCGGAATTTGCGATCGCTCCGTCGGCGACATTCCTCAGAGCACGGTAACAATAAACTACTTGTAGGAACAATTGCCGCGCGTTAATCATGGCGAATTCCGAAAAGAAGGTGGCACTCGTAGTGGGTGCTTCTCGAGGCATAGGGAGGCAGGTAGCTGTTGATCTGGCAAGGAACGGATACGTTGGTGAGTACCACGTGGCCTACAATCGTTCGAGAACTGGCTGACCCACTCGCAGTCGTCGTTGCAGCGAAGAGCACGTCGGATGTCTCGACTGTGACGCCTTTCCCTCCTGACCCCAACTCGCCACAATCCACGATCAGCACAGTCGAGCGCGAAATTCGCGAAGCTGGGGGCGAAGCGACAGCTATCGCCGTAGACACCCGCGACTATACCAGCGTCCAGAAACTGCTTGATGAAACAACCAAGAAGTACGGGCGTCTTGATGTGCTGGTATACAACTCGGGTGCCATCTGGTGGGCAAGTGTCGAGAACACGCCGATGAAGCGTTTTCAGCTCATGCAGCGAGTAAACGTGGAGGGGCTGTACGGCACTGTGCAAGCCTCCCTACCACACTTCAAAAAGAACGGGTGGAAGGGTCGCATCATTGTCGTGAGCCCGCCCATATACTCGCGTTTTTTTCGCGGAAAGACAGCGTATGCGATGGGCAAAGTAGGCATGAGTGTGCTCACCAAGGGTCTAGCTATGGACTGGGAAAGAGAAGGCAAGCAAGACATGGCCATCACAAGTATTTGGCCTGCAGCAGCCATCCAGAGTGCGGCGACGAAGATGGCCGAGAAGGACGCTGCACACGAGCTGCGCAAGCCGACGATATATTCGGATGCTATCCTCGCCATGCTAAACTCACCTGCAGCAGAGGTCAATGGCTGTCTGGAGCTCGACGAAGACTTTCTGAGAAAGAAGGGCGCTGTCGATTTCGAGAAGTACAATCTTGTGGTTGGGTCAAAGCCGCGCCGAATTATGCCGAAATTACTTCCCGACCTCACGGTCAATGAGCAAATGGATGAGGGAAAGAGGATGGACAGTACCAAGTTGCGTGAAAAGTTGTAGGGATCTAAGCGCAGGGACCCTGCACATGGCCACTCCCGCGGACGCTCCCGCTGTGTGTCGCATCTCCCCTTGCAGGGACGTAACGACATCGATCGCGAAGAACTCCGCCGCGATCGCGGGCGATGTTTATCGTTTTGATTCATGTAAGTTAGAGGAGAGGAATATCGATGTCGAGCTATTAAGATGAAGAGATTTGAATGTGCACAGGTGCTATTCTGCATTCTTTGGTCACTCGCAGTCCTAGTCTGATATGCAGACGCTGAGGTCTCGACTTGATCGGCAACTCCTGCTGCATTCTCGCCATCAGCCCTCCTTCACACATTCCATCACGTCCACTTCTCCGTCGCGTCGACGCGTGTTTAGTAAAATGGAACGGGATTCGTATTATCCAGTCTAGTTGTCCACCAAATGTGAAACTTCCTTTCACAGTCTTTATTGCGATTTCGCATACACTCTTTCCAGCGCCAGTCGCTCACGTCACTTTTGCAGTCATTTGAATCAGGCGCATTCGTTTCGCAGCACTCGTTTTTGCTATTTTTATTGCTACAGGGTGCGGTAGCCCCTCCTCCGCATCATGTTCAAATATCATATGCGATCCAAGCAACGAGCTTGGAATACTTGCCTCAGTCACATCTTCATCTGGATATTCTTCTTTAATGGTGCCCTTGCGCGACCACAAGGACTCCTGGGAGGACTTGTTGGTGGTCTCACCGGTCAACCTACCGCCTTGACTTGCACTGACGGCAATGGCGCAACGTATACGAACGGTTCCACTATTGTCGACCAGGGTCGGATCTATCAAGTCGTATGCAACACGAACATCCTCCAGACAGCCCTCGGTGTCAGTGTCACACCCAGCCTGACTGTGTGTGTTGATACATGCGTCGGTAATCCTTACTGCGTTGGCGCTACATACGACAAAACTACAAACTCCTGTCTACTGAAGGGAGTGACGGGGATAGTAGGAGATTTAGTAGGCGGCTTGGGCACGACACTCGGAGCCACACTGGGCATAACCAACGGCCTCATCGCCCTAGTACCCGTCGGTGTGGTTAGCACTTTACTACCCAGCTCGTTGCGCACAGCGATAGCTGCATCCGCAATCTCCAACCCTACCTCTCGGGCTTCGTCTGCTATAGCAGCTTCTGTTTCCTCTGTGTCACCCATTCACGTTAGCTTCAGCATTGAAGCCAGTCTCTCTGTCGGGCCATCGGCTATCCTGGGCTTGCTGCCGAGCTCTTCGCCTGGAATAAGGCAATCAACAGGGGCAGCTGCTAGTAGTCCTCTGTCTGCGGCTCCAGTCATAAACGGTGGAAGTCTCCTGTCGGCCGTTTCGAATATTCCATCGTCCCCAAACCCAAGTGTGGCTCTTCCTAGCGTGTCGGGGGTAGCTGCGCTCCCTAGCGTTTCTGTTGCGGTATCAAATGTCCTGAACTCACTCAACTCGCAGATCTCGTCAATCAGACTTTCGACGCTTGCAGTATCCTCCATACCATTGATCCTGCCCTCGTCGGCCCCTGCATTACTCCCCTCTTCAGCTACTCCACTGCTCCCATCGCCGATATTGCAGGCTAGCAGTGTCCAGAATGGGCTTGGGGGATTACTCGGCGGTCTCGGTCTTGGGCTGAACAGTATACTGGCCGTACCAACGCCTAGCGTGGGCAGTGTACTGAATCCTCTCACTCCCATTGTTGGCGTTGTATCCGGAATCGTTGGAGCAAGCCAAAGCGTCCAAAATCTTCCTAGTTCTGTCGCCGCGCAGAGTCCTCTTACACTTGTTGGAGGCGTCATATCCAATGTCCTTGGCGGCTTGTCTGGCTTGCCCGCGCCCTCGACACTCTCAGCGAGTCCACCCTCGGCACCAAGCGTAAGCAGCGTTCAAAACCCTCTCAACGCTGCCGGTGGCCTCCTTTCTGGTGTCGCTGGAGGCTTGAGTAGCGTATTGGCCTTGCCAACACCTTCAGCGAGCATTGCCGCGCTCTCCATTCCCGCTATCAGTATTCAAAATCCTCTCACTCCCGTGGGCAGCCTACTTTCTGGTGTAGCCGGAGCTTTGAGCACTATATTAGCCGTCCCAACACCTTCAGCAAGCATTCCCGCACTTTCCGTTCCGGCCATCAGCATTCAAAATCCTCTCACTCCCGTGGGCGGCCTACTTTCTGGTGTAGCCGGAGCTTTGAGCGGCATATTAGCCGTGTCGACACCTTCGGTGAATGGTCCCTTGGTTCCCTCGCTTGCAGCGGCGAGCAGCATTCAAAATCCTCTTGGCGGCGTCGCATCGTTCCTAACAGGGGGTGGTGTGACTGTATCGAGCTTCGCTGCAGGTGGAGGCGGTATCATTCCGGCACCCTCACTATCCTCGGGCATTTCAGTGGGCGTTCCAGTCATATCACTGCCTGTTATCTCGATACCTAGCCTGGTGCTACCAAGTGTTTCGCTGCCTGCTCTTTCTGCCCCCGCGGTATCAGTCGCAGTACCTGCTCTCTCAACCCCCGCAGTGTCTATATCGGTACCGGGAGTATCGATACCTGCGCCTTCGCTGCCAGACCTCTCGCTACCTGGGCTATCAATCCCAGCTCCCTCACTCCCCGTTATCTCAGCTCCGAGTGTCGCGCTACCTAGCATATCATTGCCGGCCCTTTCTATTCCCGCAGTGTCTATTGCGGTACCTACTCTATCAGTCCCCGGAGTATCTCTTTCAATTCCTGCAATCTCAATACCTGCTCCTTCGCTACCTGTCCCCTCTCTGCCTGCAATCTCGGCACCTGCTCCTTCCATCCCAGGGATCTCAGTTCCAGCGTCTGCTTTTTCGGCCCCTGGACTGCCGGTTCTTTCTCCTTCGCTTCCAACCCCTAGTCTTTCTGTTCCCGGCGTCTCACTCCCTGGGATCTCGATACCAGCCCTCTCGCTCCCCGTCATTCCAGTCCTCAGCGTCGCTTTACCTGCAATCTCGATACCCATTTCTTCGATCGCGGGAGTCCAAAACCCGAGCGTCTCGATCCCTACCGTGGCGATACCCACACTTTCGTTGCCGAGTCTCTCAGTACCTGCCCTGAACTCGCCTTCGGCTGGAGCATCATCCGTTCCTGCAACGGGTGGCGTGCAGAATCCGCTTGGTGGCCTCTTGTCAGGATTAGCAGGCGGCCTGGGCAGCGTCCTTGCAGTGCCCTCACCATCGTTGAGCCTCTCGGTCAGTCTTCCGGGCATATCGGTACCTTCGGTTACGATCCCGTCAATCGCGTTGCCGTCAATCACATTGCCCTCAGTCGCAGTGTCTCCATTGATTTCACCCGCTTTGTCTTCAGTGTCATTGGCTGTGGTGCCTCCGCTATCTTCCGTTATTTTACCTCCTCTTCCGGGATTCAGCAGCCCGCAGAACCCGCTGGGTGGACTTCTATCGGGCATAGCAGGGGGCCTCGGGAGTATACTTGCGGTGCCATCAGTGCCAGGGATCGGTGTGCCGTCAACAACACCCATCGTACCAGTGATCACGCCGTCAGCTGCAGGTCCGGCTGTTCCTGGAGCTACTGCGGGGACGGACCCGCTTGGAAATATCGTCTCGGGCGTTGTAGGGGGTTTGGGCAGTTTATTAGCTGTCCCCAATGTTCCTTCGTTAGGCCTGTCAGCGATTCGTCCAGATGCTTCGGTTTCGAATCCATCTGCCATCCTCCCAGCACCTTCATCCGTCCCTACAGCGGGCCAGAATCCCCTTGGAAACATCTTGTCCGCGGTGGGAAGCTTGTTCGTTGTTTCATCCTCCCTCAACGTTCCGCAACTCTCAGCAGTGGTCCCTGTCGTATCTCCGAACGCACCATCAGCTCTTCCAAATGCTGCGTCATCAGTACCGGGTGCAAACGTTGTGTCGCCATTGCTACCTGGCTTGGGATCTGCGCTCCAAAGTCTGGTGGCTCAACCCGTCTCGATTCCGAATTTGCCTTCACTTGGTCTGCCTTCTAGTCTCCCGGCGGTATCTTTTCCTGCTAGTGTTTCACCGCTGCCAGCTGCTTTTGAATCTGCGCTGGATAATCTTGCAGGCAGCCTCCTGGCACAGCAGAGTCCGCTACCTGCCGCGTCAACACCTGTGTCTGTTAACGGTCAAGCACTCTTACCGGCGATAGGCAATGTTCTGGGAAGCTTACTTGGGGTACCAGGCCTCGCTTCTGCGACTGTCAACGCACCTCTCATTACGCCCTCGCCCACAAGTCTCTCTGGGCCACAAGAGAATCAGTTGGAACAGATGCTTTCGTATCTTTCATATGACCTGGGCATCTACTTTCCACGTGATCAGATGATATCCCTGCTGGGTATCAAACCCTTCACAACGATCCCGTCGAGCTTGAACGTTCCAGCACCGATACCCACGAGCCAAGGACTCATCCCAGGTGTCCTTAGCGTCTTGGGACTCGGTGCGAGCCCTGTTGTGCCTCCACTTCTGTCGACACCAGTTCTTGCGCCACAAACTTTGCCAACGTCAGTAGCGAGACCACCTGTCAGTAGCGCTGGTGGAGATTTGTTAGGGGGTGTTTTATCTGCGATTGGACTCGGAGCTCTTTCATCACCACTTCCTCTTTCACTGTCCGCTCCATCAGCCGTGCCTCCTGCTATCTCGTTGCCACAGTCTTTGGCGTTGTCTTCGCTACAGTCGAGTGCTCCTGGGCAAACCGTGCCGAACATCGTTGGGGGACTACTCTCGGACCTGGTTAACGTCCCCGTACCGACAGCCGCATCAAACAACCTACCAGTAACGACCAGGAACAATTTGGGACTTCCCAGTCTACAATTGCCCAACTTGCCTCTGCCCACTACACCATTGATCAACGTTGATCTTTCATTGCAGCTACCGTCTCTTGGGCTACCTAGCCTAGGTCTTTTATCCATCCCATTGATCGATATCGGAGCTCCGTCACTCGTACTGCCATCTGTGGGGTTACCAACAATTAATGCAGGGCTACCGTCGCTGCAGGTTCCGCCCCTGGGACTCCCAAGCCTTGCTTTGCCGACTACACCGTTGGTAAACGTTGACGTCTCGTTGCAGCTGCCGTCTATTAACCCCACCGCTCCGTCGATCAACCTCGAGCCATCAGTCAATGTCCGGCCGTCCATCAACTCTGATTCTAACATCAATGTCCAGCCAACCATCAATGTGCAGCTTCCTTCTATACAGCTCCCATCCTTGGCAATCCCAAGCCTGGCTTTACCTAGTATACCTTTGATCAATGTTCAACTACCAACTTTGAGCACCCCGGGAGTGGTACTGCCTACTACACCGATAGTAAACGTTCAGTTTCCGTCCGTAGGCCTTCCTACACTGCAACTTCCGTCTGTAGGCCTTCCTTCACTGCAGCTTCCGTCCGTGGATCTACCATCCGTGGGTCTGCCGTCCGTGGGGATTCCACCTATAAGTCTGCCATTGATAGGCCTGCCGTCTGTGGGTCTACCATCTATAGATCTACCGTCTATAGCTCTGCCATCCGTGGGGATTCCACCGATAAGTCTGCCATCGATAGGCCTGCCGTCTGTGGGTCTACCGTCCATAGCTCTGCCATCCATAGCCCTGCCGTCTGTGGGTCTACCGTCTATAAGCCAGCCCTCCGTGGCTCCGCCGTCCGTGGATCTACCGACTGTGGGTCTACCGTCCATAACTCTGCCATCCGTGGGGATTCCACCGATAAGTCTGCCATCCATAGGCCTACCGTCTGTGGGTCTACCATCTATAGACCTACCGTCTATAGCTCTGCCATC